TATATATATATATATATATATATATATATATATATATATATATATATATACATATATATATATATATATTTCCTTTATTCGGCTCTTAAGGGGAAACTCTTTTGTATATATGTATGTATACGTCTGGGTAATTATATTAGTGTATATAAACGTCTGGGAGGGGTTAAAGATCAAAAGTTCTAGAAGTATATTATGTGTCAAAGGTATATCTCATTGTAAGAAATAGAAACATGCATATAGGTTTACTGAATGTTTTGAAAGAAAATTAACTTACGACCAGTGGTTGTCAAGATACGGATGCCCTATATAATATTTTCCCAACTAATTTGTATAATTAAGCTAACTCGCATGTTATGAGGTATGTGATGGAGGTAAAATTATGGAATTTATTTTCTTCAAGTTCTTGAAACACTCGTTATTTCGTAAATATGTGGTTGGCGCATCGGTTGTGGCTTGGTCTCCCAATCCTCAGGTCGGGTTCGAAACACTCGCTGTGCAAGTCGCTTGTGTTCTTGGACAAGGTACTCTATCTACGGTTGCCTCTCTCCACCCAGGAGTACAAGTGGGTACCTGGTAGGTTCAAACATCATTATTATATCATTATCATTAACATTATAGTTTATATTAACATATATTTAGTTTTTAAGATAATACGACATCTGGTTGGGAAAATACACCACAGTAACATAATAATAGTCATAGAAAAAAACGAGAACAGTTATGATAAATTAGTAATGATGATAATGACGATGGGGATGACGACTAAGCCTATGATGGCGACCGTCGCGACGGTTATTAATTTTAATAGGCAATAGCTTACTTCAAGTGCATTTAGTACTATATTCAGTTAAAAGGAATACAAATTGAGGAAAAGGTAGAAGTCAACTTCAAAAATGAACATAATAAGCATAGCCAACCTGTAGTCAACTGTAAACACCTATTCATGAAATATAATAGGTGATTAATTAAACGTTACAGAAAACTCAAAAGAAGAAATAAAGTGATTCATAGGAACACAAAAGCACACGTACTTTATTATGTATTTCTTAGTGTAACGCATTGAACTTGAACTTCAAATGGTTAATATAAAGCGGTTCACTTGACTGCTCTTGATAACGTGCACTAATAAAGCGTGGAACCACAAGTATTCAAAATGGAGTTTTAAAAACTCAAAAAAATATTCATCGAATCTCAATTAAAAAAAAAAATACAAATGATTAAATTTGTTATTTCTTAACTAATATTTTGTTTACTATAAAATTACATCCAGTAGCGACTTATTCACTATTATTATGTGCCTTTGGAGAATAACTTTCTTTAGGCAATCGTTACTGAACAAAATACATGGAATGTTCCTCCTTATTTCGTGCAAATACACGGATCGAGCAATTTTAATCAGACAATTGTACTAAAGCACAAATGATATAAAAGCTTTGAAAGCATTTTTTAAGTGTTTGAAATAACAAACCCTTAAAAATAACAACGATCTGGCATTTGCTAACATAAGATTTATTATTTAGAAAACAATAAATAATAATATATAATAATTTTATAATAGGTCTAATGCATTGAACCGTCGGATGTTAACATTTTGAGCAGCAATAATGGATTAATACAGCCTCATGTGTATTATGGTAGGATGGGGTGGATGTCTACTTTGTTGTTTGTATGTTTATGTGTAGGGCGTACAATACCTTTACTCAGGGTTTCCTTCACTGTAGGCCTACGTCCACTGTCTTTCGTATTTGTTTTTTTTTTTTTTTATGGAAATACAGATTGAATTGGATTAACACAGCCTCATGTAACTTAAAATATATACATGTGGGAAAATACTTTGATGTTTTGAACATTTGAAAACATGTTAACAGTAACATTCAGGATGTTTTCATTTTAGAACAGTCAAAGAAAGATTATCACTACAGAAATCACAATGTGATACATGTCAGGGGCAATATTTATCAAACTAGAATTCGGCTTAAATTCGTCCTAAGTCCATTTTTTGCTTAAGTAAAATTTATACATATTGCTTAGCTTAAAAATTGCTTAAAATTAGAAAGTCGATTGTACGTTAACACCATCTAAGACGATTTTTAAGCGAAAAATATTTTGCTAAGATTGGGTAATAAATCAGCTTATCAAGATATTTATTATGGACATCTTAACTTTTTTGACTTAAGACATTGCTAAGTTAAGATTGATAAATCCAGTGCCAGGCAGACAATTTAACGAAGTAACATTTACAAATTGCAAAAGCCAATAAGAAAATGTATCATTTGGAATGCTTACATTATTATATTAACAATCCTGAGAGGAAACATGTGGCTATACGAATTACGATGTGAACACATCATCCAAATAGAAAATACGTCAGAATAGGCAAAAAAAGTTTAACAAAATCGATAGGAAACCTGTGGATATACAAACCACATTTGGTCCAATGTCATTAATATAGACCTATAATTAAGATGATTGATTGTGCAGTTCTTTATCATCATAAATTATTACTATACTAATAAGCAGCCCAAGTTTCCCGGAACTTGCGAGAATCTCCCGGAATCAGGACAGCCTCCCGCACTCGCAAGAAGCAAGGATCTCCTTAAATTCATAATATTTGCATGTGTTTACTGCTTTATTATCGATTTTCTCACGGAAGTCAGTGACGATGGGTATCACTATGTGCAGATCTGTGGCGGATTAAAAGGAATTTAAGGGAAGGGAAAGTTGACCAGGGGTGGCGCCTGGATTTTCTTATACGGAGTCCGAGGTCCCCGACGGGGATGGGGTGTGGCCCACGCCTCCAACGAGGGCGAAGATTTTCCCGACGAGAGCAAAGTGGGAGTGATCAAGCGTCTCTAAATGTTTTTGAAAGTGGTCCAGAGGGCTAAGCCTCCGAAAAAGAAAAAAAAGACAATCTAGGGGTTTAAAGGCTTATTAAATCGATTTTAGAGTCTAGTAGGCCTAATATGTACAAAGTGCATAATAGAGGTAATTATTTTTTTCTTCCTGACGAATTGTAATTTTTTCTTCTCGACAGAGGGATGGGGCAGCCCTCCACGTTAAGGGGGTGGAAGCAGGCCCCGCTGGTGCCATCCCTGAGGCCGACCCGAGTACCCTAAATAGTTAAAAATTATGAAAAAATTTATATTCGAATTTAAGTGTGTGAGAATGCCATTTCCGGTCATCTAGGATGCCATAATCATAAATTTTCTTATCTCAGCTCCATCCAATTCAATGGAGAGGGGCAGCCAGCCTGGGTCCAGCAGGAATTAAAAACTCGTTTAAGAGTGCTGTAACAATATACATTGCCAATAAAATAAACAAAGCAAAAGAGCACAAAACTATAAGTTGAAGTAAATGAAAGATCAGGTGGCCTCTGAAAATGAATTATATATATATATATAT